AATATTCTTGTAGAAAATGCTTACCAAAATGGATTAATCAATTTTAATTTTAAAAAATATTTAAAAGTCAGTATTTATTATTTATTAAAGTTTATTAAATAATTATTAAAGTACAGCAATAGCTCTTCGCTGAAATTGAGAATCTTCGCTTTCTTTTGATTACTTATCGTAAAAACTGGTTTGATGAGAAAAGATGATATCGGAAATAGAAATCAGAAATAAAAATAAGTCCACTGTATTCTATTTTTCTTTCCTTGCTTTCAGAGATAAGAATTCCTTTCCTCTTTTATTTATAATCATAAATGTTATCAAATTACACAACACAAATTAGGCACAGAAGTATAATTGTATTTATAGAAATGATATATTAATAATAATGGATTATTTTTTTAGGTTCAGCTTGTGACTAACAGTTTGAGCAATTTGAGCAAAGCAAAGTATGGAAGCCAATCGAAATATTAGTAAGTAGAATTTTCATGCGTTTTACTTTTTTTGAAGACACAAATGATGTCATTTTTGTTTTTAAGTAATTTTAGAACATTCAGCAAATCATTTGGAATCAAATTCATGCAGTAACTTGTTTTCTTGATATAAAAGGAAAATTGTGCAAAAAAAATCTCATTAAAAGGTCAAATTGAGGTCAACACTGGGAAATTACATAATTGATGGATGTTTATATTTTCTAAAAATAAACTGCTATATTTGAAACTTCTCAGGAGTATTGGTTACTGGAGCAACGGGTTACATTGGCATACATTGTGTTGATCAACTTATCAAAGAAAATTACATAGTAAGAGGTACAGTACGTGACTTGAATAATAGTTTAAAAATCGATCCATTAAAACAACTAGAAGGATCAAAGGAACGTTTGGAATTAGTTCAGGCTGATTTGCAAAGTGATGAAGGATGGTCACAGTTTGTTTTTTTTTGATAATTTTTTAATACTATTATAATTAATCAAGTTTATTTACTCAAAGTTTTAGTATTACAAAAACTAACGCAAGTTAATCAATCTCAGTTGCTATATTTTTCACGTAATTATGTAAAAGTGACAATTAATTGATCAAGTTATATTTTCAGAGCAATGACTAATTGTACTTATGTTCTACACGTTGCAAGTCCTTTTCCAATGGTCACGGACAAATCTATTATCACTATAGCTGTTAATGGTACTTTGCGTGTCTTACGAGCTGCAGCAAAGTCATCTACTGTGAAGAAAGTTGTAATCACCAGTTCAGCCTCATCTATAAGTGGTATACAATGTTACAACAATATTTTTAATTACTTGGAATAAATAATCTAGTCGTAAAGTTAGCAACTGTAATTTGCTTATTATTCAAAGTCATTTCAATCAGTAAAAAATTTTTTAACAGTTTGCAAAAAGAAAGCATTTTAAAAATATTGAAAAAATTTTTTTGCAAAAAAAACATATATGTATATCGACCAGTTGTACTTATGTTTCGTGTTTATTAACAGATTTGGGAAAAAATTAAAGTATCAGATTCCGAGATAGTAGTATAATTATTAGAGTAGTTCTTTCAGAAGGTCATGCGAATGCTTCAAGAACGTTTAGTGAAGCTGACTGGACAAATTTAAACTCAAAAAAAACAAATAATTACGCAAAAAGTAAAACTCTTGCTGAGAAAGCTGCTTGGGAATTTGTTGATAAAGAAAGTAAATCTTTTGGAAAATTTTTTTCTTAATAGAATAATTCAAGGCATCAGTTCATGTAGAACTTAATTTTCATTTCACAGTTATGCACAATTATTTTTTCTTTATTTTTCCCTTCATTACCATTTATATCACTTTGATCAGTGAAGAACAAGCAAATTAATTGCTAGCAGTGATTATAATGATTATTTTAATTGCTGTAATTATACATAAAACACAGTGATAAATGACGTCTCGACAACTATCAGTTAAACAAACATAATCAATGATTATTTTATATTTTAATTTTCAGAAGTTAAATTTAAGCTAACGGTAATCAATCCATCTTTTGTGCTTGGACCGTTACTTCATAACGTTCAAGGAACGAGCATCCAAGTAAATTTTTTAAGTAAACTTGAAGTCAGCAATAATTGAGTTCTCAAAAAACATAGTTATTAAAAGTAGATACACATCATGAGTACTTTTATGTGTTAACTGGGGTGTAATTTAGTTGATGCGCCGTTTCTTAAGTAATGAAATTCCCGCTGTCCCAGCAGTTCAGTTTGGTTTGGTGGACGTACGTGATGTAGCACAAGCACACATTCGAGCTATGCGTGAAGCTCGTAGTGATGGTCTGCGAATTCTTGTTACGTCGCAAACAAGTTATTCATTCTTGCAGATTGCAAGTATCCTTCGAAAAGAATTCTCATCGCAAGGTTTTGATTTATGTCTTCTGTGATTCTACAAAGGCTTATTACGCAGGTAATATGCGCACATAAAAATGAGAAAAAGAAAGATTATCGTGTAGATTCAAAAAACTACGAAAATTTGTACATGAGTATTGCCATTCATTGTAAATCCAGATAAACCAAGAAAACCAGAAAAATCACTTTAACTGGTACAAATATATAAAACTACAGGTGAATAATTACAGCGCAAATTGAGATCAATCCATAAAAACTTAGAAACTTACACAAATGCGCGAGACAGCGACAGAGTACAAGTTTCAAAGTACAAATATTAATTTCAGGTTATACTTTCCCAAAATTGACGGTACCATACCCTCTAGTATGGCTATACTCATTTTTCAATCAGGAGACGGAAGAACAAGTATTACCACGTATAGGCGATAAGCCATGTTTCGACAATTCTCGCGTAAGACCATTTTTTGGGCAAACTACAGTAGCTAACAGTTATTTTACTATATACTATAAATTATGTCATCACTAGTAACATGAATATAATTTCAAAATAAGTAATAATTGCCAGGATTCAATAAATTCCAGGTCAAGAAAATTTTGGGAATGGATCTCAGGAATCCTGAAGAAGCAATCATCCTTATGGCATATGATATCATTGAACGAGGCATGGCACCTAAACAGAAGAATTACCGAGGACCATCGCAAAAGATCATGGAATGAGCAGTCTGAAGCATATGCTGTACCTTTCATGCTTATTACTAAAAACTCACATTTTTAGAAAAAGGTTTTTTCTTGAAAAAAGGAAAGGAATCAAAAAAAGGTACTGAAAAAAAACTAAAAATTGACATTTCCAAAAAAGTGAGAAAATTAATACAATCAAGCATTTTTTTTCATTTGTTTACATTCTAAATTCAACAATGTTCTCGTCTATACTGAACTTTGCAATAAATTGATTTGTTAAAAATTTTTGTAAATAAATTAAAATTAATACTTTCTAATATAACTAACTTTTTTACTTTTTATTTCATAATACTCCTCCTTAAACTTGTAGATAGTAAAATCACAAGATATAAATAAATATATACACACTGTCGATTTACTTTTATACTTATATTGTAATAAAATTAATCGATGAGTAAAATCTACAATATAATTTGGCTGCTATAATACACGTAATGATTCACATCTTACATCATATTTGAGCGTAGATGACTTAGAAGCAACACAACTCAATTAAATGGTAAAATAAGTAACAGCAAACCACTTTCTGCAATCCAAAAATTCATTCAAATTTTTGCTTCAAATGAACCATTTCGTTAGCGAACTGAAAGATTTAATTGTTCCGACTGGAATACTGAAGTATTACAAAAATAGATAAGCAGATCCAGGACTCAATCCTTTGAATTCAATTTTTCATAACAACTTTCAGTTGGTAAAAGTTGTATCCAAACGAAAGAAAAGATGCTTTTTTATTCTAACAAAAAGGACAGTATTTAATATTTTAAGCAAAAAATAATCAAGTTTATTTATGGTACACTTCACTAATAAGTGGTAAGATCAAATTTTTCCAGCAAAACAAAATAAATCATTCTTTCATTTCCCGTTGAATATCGTCTATTAAAACAACAAAAAAAACGATTCAGAGGAGTACTTTAAAGCACTATCATTAAAATTCACATCATTCTCTCTTCTCTACTTCATTTTCAGAATCATGCATAGCAAGTCGTTTCAAATACTCTAGATTATGTTCACCGGTTTCAGCAGCCAAAGCAGCAAGAGCACTTTTTTCTTTACATAATAATGAATATGGATGATCAAATTCGATTAATTTGCCATTATCAAGTACCTTTAAATCATCAACATAGAAACTTTTTTCAATGAATCACATATAGGCTAAGAAATTTTGCAACTTTTCTAAATAAATTGTACACAATTTTGTTACATCGATAATATTCATGCTATAAAATCCTTTCTTCATTTCATTTTAATATTCTAACAAAAACAATGCATTTATAAAAGTTAAACAAACATACCATTACTCTGTCTGAATCCATGATTGTATGTAAACGATGAGCAATTGTGAGCACAGTGGAGTTGCGAAAACATCTCTTGATTGTTCTTTGGATAAAACTGTCAGTTCTGAAAAGTATCTAATGAAGCAGTTTAATTAAGACGGATTTAATTAAATGTTGAACAGAATAACTTCCATATTTAGGACTCAAGATTCATTTATAATCAAAAACGAATTCCTGGTAACATCTCGAGCAAAGAACATGTTTCTAAATAATTGAGAATTGAAAATCAAGAAAACAGAAAAATCAGAATGTTTTCAGAACTTGCATAGGATCGACATTTGCGGTTGCTTCATCAATAACAAGAATTTTGGAACGCCGCAGTAAAGCACGAGCTAAACATATTAACTGTCGCTGTCCTACGGAAAAGTTAGTGCCACCTTCTTCAACTTCTGTCTCAAGTTTGGAAGGCAAGTCAAGAATAGTATCCTTTAATTCCACCTAAAGTTGAAAAAACGAACTTGAAAAGTTGTAAATAGACTGCACTAGAATATTTAAAGCGATATAATCCAGCATCTTTATATGATAAAACAAATCAGCGACCTGTTCAAGTACATGCCACACGTCATCTTTTGAATGCTCGTTAAATGGATTCAAATTCTGCATTAATGTACCCATAAATAACACTGGATCCTATAACTAACGATGATCTTTTAAATTACAGTTTGAATAAGTATTACTTAACAGTTAGTATACAATACTGTTTTAAAACCTGTGGAATAATAGAAATCCGCTGGCGAAGAGATTTCAGAGAAACTGTTTTCGTGTCAATATTATCTATTATAATGCTTCCCTCAAGTTCAATAAGATGAAAAATCGCCTTCAATAGAGAACTTTTACCAGCACCTGTGCGTCCCACAATTCCAATCTATAATTACTAGTTATATCGAGACAAATTTCCTGAAATCACTCATTCACAACTGCAAAAACAAAAATAAATAATATACCTTTTCCATAGGAATGATATCAGCATTGATATTCTTGAGTACTGGAGGTGCGTCTTTTCCATAGTGAACAGTTACCTCAAATACTAATGAATAATGATTTTTGAAAAGATTCTTTCGAAACAGGAAAGAAAGCAACTACTATTCATATGCTTCTGCTTTTGAACTGCCATCCAAGGACCAACTTCATGAAATTAAGAATTTCAAGGTCATGAACTTTGAGAAGCTTAGAATTCTCTAAACTCTTTCAATTTACCATATGATCACTTTCATGTTGTTTCAAGAAAAAAACGAACAAAGAAAGGCTGTTTAATAGTGAATTAAACAAGAACTTTTGAACAATACTTCATATTAGTTACTCACATTTTTGAATACAATGTGCCCCTCCGAAGGCCAATCAAGTGGTAGACTAACACCTTCCCTAATTGGTTCCTGTGGCAACTTGCTGTAATCAATGATACGTTCCACAGATATCATCTGGAAATATAAAATCAAAACTACTGCTTCAAATTCTGCTACCGAAAGTGAAAAAACAAGCAAACAGAAATATACTTGCTTACTGCATTTTGCAGCTCAGCGCTTTGACGTAAAATCCAAGAAAAGTGACCCAGTAATTGGACTGCATATACAAGAACCAATCCTACTTCACCACCCGTTAATTTTGCTGAAATTTTTCAATAAGACATCTGACAAAAAGAATTTTTACAGCTAATATTGCCGTATACGCTACTACTATTACACAAACCATATATTGAAGTTTCGGTCTTGCATTAGATACCAAATTATAGCATGCGCAAGCGTTAGATAAAACTTTAAACGAAAATATTTTATAAGCATGACAAACTTGTAGAAGCAATGCAAAGAAAAGCAACAGCAGTGATGAATATGGCCACAAGCCAGTCGATCACAGCTCCAAACCACCTTGCTATACAAAGATTGAAGTAAAATGCAGCAGTATTGACATTCTGAACAAAAATGGTAGGCTAATTAGCATACTAAAAATGACTTCTAACATTTTTAGTTAGAAAATACGACATTGTTTAGATAGCCATCTGATAATTTTACATTTCAATTCATTGCTTAAAAACCTGATACTTATGGAAGCCATTGACCACATACTGCTGGTTACGAAAGGCTCGCACAGAAACCAAACCATACATCGCGGATGAGACGTGAGAATATAATGGACTACGAGCTGAAAAAGTTTATCACTGAATAAGAAAGCACAGAAAACATGCTAGCTTTACATTTAACCCACTAACTGTCACCAATTAGTAAACTCACAGAAAATAAACTTTATAACTCACTAGTTGCTTCAAGTCGCTTTACGCTTCGTGAGGAGGAAAGATAAAAACATCGAAGAAAAATGAATAACAGTATTAATGGCCCCGTAATTAGGAGAACGAACGGATTAATAATCACTATAACAATTATATATCCAAAAAAAGTCATCATTCCCTGAAAAAAATACTATTATTAAAAGGATGGAAAAAAAATATCGCAGTAATTCTTTCTCAGCCATACTTTTGGAATGAGGATTTTCAAAGATAAAAAATGTAATAAGTAATACTCAAATTGAAGAATAGAAAATACAAACCAAGGAAAAGTCAAAGAAAGCAAACGAAAGTTGGTCATCTAAAGTTGCGATGTCTTTGGAGAATCGATTCAAAATCCGGCCTAAAATATGTATGATAAAACCACTTCAGCCATACTCCAAATTGAAATACTTAGAACAGAAAAGTTACTTAGGTGCAATTAACCTGTTGGATTTTTGTCAAAAAAACTGATAGTAGTTTTAAGTACTCGTTGAAACATTAAATCGTGAAGAACACGAGAAGCAGTAACTTGAGTAAGACGAAACCACATGACCCTTAAAACAAGATCTTAGCATATCTACATTTCTATGGTATTAATTTTCAATAAAAAACTTTCAAGTATTGCAAACTAATTCATTAACTCACAGAACTATTTATTCACAAAATTGGAAGCACAAAATGCGTTGCCAGATAATTCACATATAAATGACGATCATACCAAAAGAATAGCTTCAATAATACCCAATTTTTTAGTGTTTAGATTTGAAAAAAGACCATAAAAGGAGGAAAAAAAATATGCAAAAAATTTTACCTAACAATGGATGCAATAACTAAAACACCAATCATAAGACTAAACGTATTTCTGTATCCTGAGAGAGTTTCTTTGATATTAAAAGGTCCCAATTTCAAATTATCAACGTACTCCACATAAGTTATCTGCTCGTCAGCACTAATACTAACCTGTTTCGTAGCATTTTCAGCAGCATCCGTCCTTAATAAAAATATTTAGTTAGTTCCTTGCTATTTCAAACCTGTAATCCATATTTCCCATATAAGATAACAAAAAGCTTTTCGGCTTTTTCATGAAATCATGTTTTCTAGGAATTTTCTTGAATGCTATTTACCATTTGTTCAACCACCAGTCTATAAAATTTTCAAGTATCTGTACAGCTACAGCAAAGAAAGCCATCAATAAAGTGAGGAACCATGGATGAGCCATGGCTTTTAAATATAAGAAATAAATTCGCCATGGAACAGCTCCTTGAGTACAATTTTCCTCTTCAGTGAAAAAGTTTCCAACCTGAAAAAGAAATGTTATTCTTATAAAGGAAGCGATATGAAAAGAGATGAACGATAAAAATAAGAGTTAAAATTTCTAACATTACACTTATCTTGAATTTGTTTTTATGAGGAAAATTGTTAACAGAAATGACAATTAACCACATAAATTAAAAATTAATGATAATTCATCACATATCACTAAACTGAAGTCGATAACCCATTTGAGAGAGATTTCAGCTTCCTAAGGTAAAAAAGGTAATAATTTTTGAAAATTCTTATACCTCTAATCTTTGCCCATAAATTTTGCAATCAATGGATTTAGAATAGTCTATGGAAGTTACTTGACAATGTGAGCGTTTACTGAACGAAGCATCTACTGAAACACAGTTCAGTTTCAGAAACATGGATAAAAACAAATATTACACGCAGCTAAAAATTGTTACTATTTTCAAAATTGTGTCATCTTCTACAATATGAAAAAAGTATAAACGAAACGACAGCTAAGCTTGATAAAATATTTCTTAAATTACAAAAACGAATGCAATTATTATGTTGCTACTACATTTTTATTTGAGATTCTCATGCAAAAACTATTTCGATATGTAGTAAAGCGAAGCTTACTAAAACAATAATGGATCGTTACCGTTAACATTCAAGTTTGGATTAAATTCATCATCGCTTTTCTGTAAAACATCGTCATTTAAAAATGAGTAAATATCAGTAGTTTCCTCCAGACCAGTTCGAAGTAAGCTCAATGATTTTTCTGTTTCCTAAAAAATCAGCTCTTTAATGAACAAAATCTCTTTATGTTCTCTGCAGCAAAGTTAAAGAATTATTCGTGAGTGCACCAACAACCAAAGTTCTTTGCTTGAAAATGTAATCATTTCCTAAAGTAAAACTCAATTAACATTATGCTAGGCAATTAGAGTAATTCAGATCTTCTTTTCATGAGAAATTGTAAAGGACATTTAAAAAATCATTAAATTTTACAGTTTGATTCGCTCACTCTGACAATTGTGTTGAATATTTCAGTGTCTTTGAGATCTTCCATAGTTCCAGAAGCAACGATCTTTCCAGACAACATTAACACAACTAAATCTGTATTCTGCACATACTGTATCTGATGAGTAACCAACAATACTGCTTTGGATTTCAAAAATTGCTTGATACATCTAGATAATAAATTTATTAATCAGTTTCTAAACGCTGCATAGAATTGCAAATTTTCAAGCATCCATTTTTTTTCTTCTAAATTTGCTTTTGAACAAGTATTGCTCCAAGACAAATTTGGAAAAAGGAAGAAAATTACGGATATACGTGAACATCAAATATTAATAGGCGTACCACAGAACAACAAATAAACCATTAGTTACTATAACTAAAGTAACAATCAAGTTAATAAAACTGTCGAAAAAGGTTTATGAAATCAGGAAATTGGTTTGGTTCAATATAGCAGAAAATATGCTTTATGAAATACAGAAAACAGCTTTTGAGATTAAGGTTTTGAGTTTGGGACAAGAAAATGTAATGGGAAAAAAATACAAAAATAAACCTATTAAATATTGATCGTCCAACAGCTGCATCAACGGCAGATAATGGATCATCGAGTAAATAAATATCAGCATCTTGATAAATTGCTCGTGCTAAACTGATTCGAGCTTTCTGCCCTCCACTTAAAGACTGACCTCGATCACCAACACTGAATTCATCGCCACTTGGAAACTGTGAAAAATCCTAAAAATAAAGTTTAAATAAACTTGCAACCAAAGCAGAAATCAGTTACCATTAAAAATTCACAGATATCACGCCAAGTGAGAAAATAATTGGATATTAGTTTCAGCAATGATAACATAAATACGTGATCAAAAGAATTATAGAAGTGACCTTTTTCAACGCACAAATGTCGGTTACTTTGTCATAACGCTTCTTGACATAAGGGAGTCCAAAAAGAATATTATCACGTACAGTACCAGGAAATATCCAGGCTTCTTGGGGTACATATGCGATTCGACCAATCGTACGTAATACACCCCACGTGCGATTAGTTTCGCGAAGAATGGAAAGCAACAAACTGGTCTGAGAATATATACTTTTCGCTGATGGCACATGACAATGATGACTAGTAATCGTAAAAACTTTATTTTTATTGCAAATACATATTGCGACTTCAATAACTTTGTTTTGACCAAAGAAATATATGTACAGTACTCAACAGTAGATGTTAGTATTAATTTTTCAGCGTGAAACATTTTTAAAATATTCAATAAATGAGTTTAAAAAAGTTTACTTTGCCACTTCCAACAGGTCCTGTAACAACGACGAGTTCTCCTTCCTGTACCATTAAAGATATATCTCGAAGAACAGCAGAACCTTCTTTAACAGCATCCTAAAGAAGTCTATTTAACATGAAGCATTCCACATTCATTTGCATTATAGAATTCCCTTTATCCCACTTTATCCATGAGGCTGTATTAGATTGAAATAATAAACTAGACACCTCAAATTTAATGATATAATATTCTATCAGACAAAAAGGAGTCATCAACTACTGAGATCAAATCATAGAATCTTTTGCTACGCTTGATAAATCAATAAAAACAGAATCAACAAAGCAAGTTAGAAAATATACAATGCCAGTATCCCATGTTGATGAATAATTTGTCATCTCGATTAATGCTCCTTTTTCATTGTATGCAGTTTTCAATAATTTGCTTTTGGGTTTTCTTTTCACCAATGGTACCTGACAATGGATTGAAAAGATTGAATTCAATTTACAGAAGTATTATCATTCAAAGAAGCAGTGTATATTATTAAAAATTAAAAAGATGTTTGGGAGAGGCTTAAAAGTCATTGATCAATCAAAATGACCATTTTTACAGCGAATGAAAACAACATTGAATTGAAACACAAACTTTTTCCCCAGCTACATCGTCACTTGCAATATTGCTTTTGATTATCATATCAGTACCAAAGTAATCAATTTGATCGTATTCATCTAGTTCCAAAAATTCTTGTAAGCGAGATAACGATATTCGTGTTTCAAATAAACTTTGGAATGCAAATGGAAGAAATAATGTTATAGGTAATACGGAAGAATTGTACAGTGCCGCCTGAAAATGACAGGTACGCAAAAAATTGTGGAGTTTAAGTGCCATGAAAAATGACTCATGTATTAAAGCTGGCATAAACGGGATGAGCGATTGATAGCATAAACTAATGAAGCTATATAATCAACACATTTAAAAAAAAATCTTACGGCAACGAAAACTCGTTCTGCAGATAAATGATAACCCGCTAACAAATAACAAAGTATAGCAAAGAGAATGATGAATTTTGATGAAACCCAAAATAATCCCAGCACAAGCGATTGCCAGATACAATTTTCCTGCACTTTAGAAAGTTCGTATCTGAATGGAAAATGAATCTATGAAGATTTTCACAGCATTTAAACAAACTAATTGAACTAAAAGTTGCTATAAAATTAAAAATTTGACCTCCTTAACCGATTAATCAGATTCGAAAATACATCTTCCCAAGTATACATCTTTATCACTCGAATTCCATTTAAAATTTCATTTGTTGCGCTAACACGTTTATCCGCGCGCATGACTATTTCTCGTCTTTAAAAAAATACAGCTATTTGCAAGAAAGTCATAAATTCAGCTGACGAGTAAAATTCAGAGTTGTAACGGATCTAATTACGCTGCATAAAATAGTGAATACAGAACACTGAAGTAAAATAGTAAAAATGAGATATTCAAAAAGATGCTCACATAATGAAGCCCTTTATTTAAAAAACATTTATTCAAGGATAAAAAACATCTACGAAAGTAGAAGTATTACAAATATAATTCAAAAAGCGTAAATAACCTGCATCTACCCATTCGTCTACTGAAATGACTTTGGAAAGGTATTAGTAAAAGTAGCGCCACGAAACCAGCTAATGATGCCAAACCAAGTTCATGCCACAGCAAATAAATGTATACAATTATCAGCAAAGGTGCTAGCCAGAAGTGATGCAAGTATAAGAAAGTCTATAAACGATACTTTAGTTTGAAAAGAAATCAAAAAGCATGTTTACCGAAAATTTTCATAAAAAAATGGGGCAGTATTGATCAAAAATTTAAAAATTTTTATTTTTAAAAATAAATTTATTTTAGAATCATAAGTGAAATAAAATATTAGATCGGTTTGAGAAATTTTTTTCATTCACGTTGATTCCGTGCACTTATTTATTATTAAGTGGATAAACAAAAAAACAAAACACTTCAAAACATTTTGTAGTAATTTAGAATTTAAAGAAGCAAAAAAAGCAAACAAAACTAGCTGCTTCAAATCTAGTAACGTCGCTTGATAATAAGTTGATAATGCGACCAATTGTAGCCTTGTGAAGTGCGTTACAACTAAGACGCACGCCCTGAAATTAGATAATTACTGAGTTGTCATTAAAATAATTATTCATTAACTTTTACTATTAAGGAATTATTGCTTAAAAATAACTACTTTAATGAGAAGCATAATTCCTTTGAAACAAAAATTAATGACATTCTAACTTGAGCACAAGTAGCGTTTGAATTTTTATGAAATACAGATGGTGAAGAAAGAAAATAAAGAACAAGCATACAATGCACGGAGGAAGAAAAGTATGAATTTTTGCAAATAATAATTAAGTCATTTTAAATTAAAAATATAAATACTAGCAAACCTTTTCCATGACCATACCACAAGAAGCTATCTTTAATTCCATTCCAAGTTTCAGCAGGCTGTAGAAATACGGATGATGTATAACTGGTATCATAATACTCGTTATTGCGACTCCTGTTGCTGCCAAATAAGCATCTCTTTTTGAAAGAGGCGAATCGTAACGAAAATAGCGAATTAATAATCCTAAGGATACTGGTTGCAACAGTTGAAATATATTCTACAAAAAATATAAATATATTTTCAATAATTGAAAAAATGAGAAATGAAAACACTAAAGCTTAACGAAAATATAGTTCCTCACGTGATGCATTCTATATTTTTACAGCGTTGACAACGAAATATCAATATGCATATCTAAGTTTAAATATTACGTCTCTCTCGACAAAAAAAAAGAAACGAAACACTTTTCAAAGTGAGGTGAATGAATTTACTTTTATGAATATTAAAACTCCAAGCAAACTAAAACGTTTGGCATACAATCTTCGAACAACCTTTACCATCGAAGGCTTTCGGTTTGCTTTGGCTGCCATTAGTTTTTCTTTTTCCCATGCTCTGCAAGAATTGGTGCTACATTTAACGTCAGTTAGTTTGAATTTTAGATACAACTGATTAAAAACAACATTGATTCTTCATTAGTGTCTTTGAGTAAAAACAGCTGCACAGTGTAAGTGAACAGTAATTTACTGAATGATTTGTAGTTTAAAAAAAACCAAAATTATCACAGATATAAATTTGTGTATAATGACTAAAGTTAAACCAATATGTAAGAAAAAACAAAGTCACAAGGTTAAGATGCTTAGAACAATCCATGAAAAAAATTTGGCTAACAGTGTCATCTGTCTCGTTGCTGTTTCTGAATCATGCTCTGGTAAAGGCTCGAATAAATCACTATGTTTCAGTTGTTCTCGATATCCACGCATCAATGTTGGTGTGATGAATCTAAAAATATTCTTTATTGACATTCAATATTAATAAAAACATATTATTCAATCTTGTAATTATAACCATACAACATCTTTTTTTTTTAAATTTAATAACACTGATTTAAGACGATTAAAAAGTTAGCAAACTGACAAGAAAGAATATCTCAACAGAAAACATGCAACCGATTCAATGTTTTTCCGAAGAACTGGAAATTTGCCATACATTTTCGAACGTCAAATCTCTGCAAATATCTTGCTTCTAGTAAAAATTATGTTCTTCAATTTTCAATTTATTTGAACTAAATAACTAACTTTTAAAAAAAAAAACAGATGTCTAAAAATCCGATCTACATCATAAGTTGATACCACTTCTTTATTTTCTTATCACAGCAATAACATTTTGAAAATATTTTTGATCAGTTATATATAATATTTTCATACAATAATAATATGCTATAATCTACGGTCCAATACAAAATAAATTAAATGTAAAAGCTGAAAAATGGAAACCATTATTACCAGTAGTTGAAAAGAATCAACCACTTAACAAGCGATCACTAACATTAATATTGTCGAAAATGCAAATGCTTCTTTTATTGCCAACCTTTGAAACCATTTCGATAAATGTAATATTTTATGCAAATATGAATAGCAGAAGTGAGTGATGCCGTAAGATATCATTAACATTCAAGAAACATCATACTAATTACGTATGAGCCAACCCACGATTCCTGAAAAACTATATTAATAATTCCAACGAGAGGAATTATCACATTAACAAATTATTAAAGAAAAACCTCAAATATTATCACCAAGGTGAAGGCATTAATAAACAATTTTGATTCTGAACTTTGTTAATCGTCAAATCTCAGCAAATCAAAAATCAAAACACTGCTACTGAAATATCACGAATAATTAAGAGTATCACAAAGTGCTATCTAATTGTTCGCGCCAAATAATTCCTTAGACATAACTGGTTATGTCTTCCAAAAAAACCATAATACTGATCAAACTTTCCGAACCCTAGCTTTATAAAACATAACATACTGAAATGAAACCACTAATAGCATTACTAATCTCAAATAAAAGTCACGCTACCCAACAGCTCCAGAAACAAATACCCAGAACAAATAACAAATCTATCGCGACCAGTCAGTTATTCAATCCACCGAACTGCCTAGTGATAAGTCACTCAATGCCAGGTCCAAGAGTAACTAACCTATGGTCCTAATACCAGTGTAAAGGTATGCCAAACAACTTATACTCCATTAGCCACGAAAGGATTGAATTATCACAAGAAAAACTTCATGTAAATTGCGAGAGGCCTTTAACATGGCTACTGAAAACACTGTTGAGAAACGATGAATTTTTGGCAACCCAATACCAAATGCAAAACTATACCCCAATCTCCTCAGATATCCTTGCCCCAATTCGCTTGCAACACTGCTTGAAAAACATTAACCCAAACAACATTTGGGACACATGCAGTACAAAAGTTAATCAATCACAAGGAACCAAGTACTCAAACATCAATATCCCTTATTCACCATCTCCTAAGAAATCCATTCCACATGAAAATGCATTTAACAGCCTCTCGAGACAGATTTTATTACCTTTCATATGAAACACCTCAAAATAGCGATACAAAAAAGTAATTCAACCAACAAGGAGCGTAAGGAAGTAATAATTATTTACGACAAATATGATCAAACATTTCTTATCGACTTATGCAAAAACAAACAAACGAATGCAGAAAGCAAGATCAAACATGACAATGAACGCAAATTACTGTAAACTGTATGCGGATAATCAAATATAGAATGAACACCTAACAAAACGCAAGAACGCAAAAAGTATTTTAAAAAATTATCAAGACATTGGCGACGAAAATAATATTACAGTAAAAATTTGATACTTCAAGCTGTACTAAAATTTCAGCGTACACTGGAATAGCGCACTAAATTAAAATTCATGGCGAGAACAAGAAACTATCACATAAAGATATTAAAAAGTTCTTGCATTTACGGGAAAAGGCAAGGAGGAAACAGAATATGGGTTTAACATTGGAGACAAATAATAAGATTAGTGATAATAATAAAACTAAAGTGAACAAAGCCCTGATGTCTTCGAGAAAGAAACAACACAGTGCTGCCGCGCAAGATTAAAAAGAATCAACCAACCGATAAATCATGAACACACTCTTGTCCAGCTAATCAACGGATCTTTGGCATTTTCCGAGAAAGTATTTAGCATTATAAAATAGTAACTGACACATGTTTGATAAGAATGTTACATGTAAAAAGCATTGAGGGAGGAAAACAGAGCAAATAACAACACCCGTACAGTCTTGAAGAGTGGATTCTGGTAATCTGACATCAATTATATCAGTAAAACGTTGCATTCATAACATGAAACATAGATGATTTCACCAGAACAGATCAATCCAATTCAGTTACCTTGAACAAATATTTTCTGTAACATGACGAGCCTCATAAATACTCCTAAGAAAAAATCTCATTAAAAAAATGATTGAAAGAACACAATCAAAGTACATTAAGCATATCAAAATTATGAGAGCCATACCACAAACATTACTGCCACCATCACTGTTGCAAAACTCAATTGTAACATTGTCCTAACATGGAAACAAAATAAACGCGTGTTGGAGTTATAACCACAAATGAACAGCAATAAATAAATGTAATGTCAAAACAATCAATTGAACAATCAATATACCGGTGAAACATTTTCATTATAAATCCCACAAGACATCTATACGGGCAGTGAAAAAGATAATAATTCATGAGTGCAAAAACTAAAATAATTAAAATGAAGCTGCAACAATGCGTTAGAAAATGGAGACTGAGATAAGCAATTGCAACCTCATAAGAAAAAACATGAGAATTATTTCACAAATTTCAACATGATGATACCAAAGAAAGAGAAAACAGTGGGAGATGAATTAGAGATTACGAAAACAACTCGAACAACGCGTTTTTCATGAACGATCAGATGTAACAAAGCAATACAGCACTATCAATAAAAAGCACGAGGAGATCTCCTGATAGTTCAAAAACATATACTTCACTAGCCCGAAAACATAAACCATAGACTAATGAAAATGTCTACATTCTCAGGAGCAGACTTAAATAACAAATGGTAACTTAAATCTTCATGGACTCAAATTTTGCTCTAAATTGAAGTCACAGTAATTCCTAGTAATATGGAAATTATGTGCAAGCACCAAAACTCTCAGCAGGCATCAATGAAACTAATATTCCATGTAAGTTTTCTTACGATAGGAAAACCAAAAAGCATATATCATGAACTCACCAAAATTATGTCATTCATTATCAAACACTGCGCTGTACTTCTCGAAGACTTGACGACTTGTTCGGGAAATAAATGTTAAGTGTGTTTATAATAGTAAATAAAAATAATAGTTAGAAAACATCCACTCGCGATCTTCATACTGTCTCAATACTGTTGTTGGAACTGATAACCACCCTGTGGTTGCGCCTGTGGGGCACCATAACTAAACTGATTCTGCGCTGCAACTGGCTGAGTACCATAGGCACCATAACCCTGAAATATGCGAAATTCACAATATACAAATGAAAATTGAAAAGGAGATTACGAGAGGAAGTTCATTTAGAAAAACTGAATTTCGCATAATAAAACATAAGCGTAGCTTACAACTCATCTACAAAGATACAAGTAAACGATTTATGTACCGGCTGTTGAGGTCGTGCCTGACCAGCCGGTTGTTGAGCAACAGCAGCAGCTGCTGCTGCAGCGGCAGCGTTCTGCTTCAGCTGATTTTCAATAAGAGCTGCTTGTTCATGCATCCCCATGCTACGATAATATTCAGCCCATTGTGCACTATAATCTGGTTGGCCTATAAATAATTGATGTGAAAATGATCATACAGTCGCATCACACCTCAAAAGTAGAGGAAAATATAGCCAAAACTGATTCCAGGAAACCATAAGTTTGATTGTACTTCCATAACGAATACAGCAAGCAGCAATCATATCAATGAAGTAAAAACGTTCCAAAACAATCAAGGCTGTGGCTCCACAGCATATTTCACTAAGAAAATAACCACAATACCGGACTTTGCAATCAGAAACTATTAGCCCGTTTTTTATACCTGTTTGAGGATTAACTGCTGGAGCTGCACTTGTCTGCGCCGGTTGTGGCTGTGGTTGTGTTGGCTGTTGATACTGAGTAGGGTAAGCTCCCTGCTGATAACTAGGTTGTTGCTGTCCCTGCTGGCCATAATACTGCTGGTTCCAAGTAGCTTGTCCCGGATCACTCTGCTGATGACCTAAACCACTCCCACACTTGATTATGCGGCTTTGATATCACATCTGTTGTTATTTTTCCAAAATCAAAAAATTAATGAATATAATCTAAATGAACCAAATGTAGTGTTCCACTGAGCTCCAGCTTGTCCAGCAATACCAGCACCAGCGAACTGGGCATTGCCATTACCGTAACCTTGAGGAGCGCTAGGTACAGCATTATGCGCAACAGAAAACGCATCGCCAGCTGCCCCTGGACCACCTTGTCCATGAAACTGCGGAACCGGAGTTCCGGGAGCAATGTCGCCAACCTGAAAAATCCCACAAATCACACTTCGATTCAGATACCACAAGAAGACTTCTAAGGTTCGTCAGATGCAAGTAGAAGGTGAGTGAAGTTAGATAACTTTAAAATACTGCAAGCAACCTTATTATTGTCGATAATATAATGAATTTATATAGAATTCTTGCCTTGATTCGGATGATATGCTGCGCGTGATGGATTTGATATGGTGTTCCTTTAATGATAAAGACTTTTTCGGATGCATTGGGAGGAGGATCCCGAGAAAGTTCAACATGTGCTCCACTTTCTGCACAAATCTTAAAATGATCACGAAGTGAACAAGCTTTAAATTACAACCTTACTAGACTTAATAACTCTTTTAGTTATTAATAAAAGTAACCCACAGTCACTAAGAATGCTTATGAATATAAAAACAAAACTATCAGATGAGCACATGATTTTTTACTAGATTTATACTCAGATAAAGTACAAAAATCATGAAATGGAGAATCTCAGTGACAATGCTCTGAAAATCATATGCGTACCTCACCTTCTGAAAAAAAATTTACAAAAATCTTACTTGTTTGATTGTTTCGCCACCTTTACCAATCACTAGCCCTGTTTTATTTGATGGAACATGCATATAAAACATTTCGGCCCCACCAGCTGCACCACTTTTTTTTACAAGTTCCGAAATAAATTGAGTAGCTTTTGCAATTTGTTCTGCTGTACCTTGAATAACGGCACATCGCTCCTGAGTCGTCTGATCGTCTGCAACAAACCCATTATAAATTCTAAGTTTAAGGGCCAAGATTAGCTTTCATTATGAAAATTTCCACTTTCATGGCAGATCCTTGCCAAAAAAACTAATGCTACAATCTACAAAAACTCTAAAATACTGCTGCAACATTTTTGAACAAATGAATGTCGACCGATAAGAAGAGACAAACTCTATACTTTAAAAGACAGAAACAAACCATCTGGTTTGAACTGGATTTTGGCTCCTGACTCAGCAGCGAGGCGTTTGATGGTTTCACCACCTTTACCAATTATCATGCCGACTGAGGCCCGAGGGACAATTACCTTTAATAAATAATTTATGCTGAATTTACAGAATGTTATTGAATGTTCTATATATCTGGAACAAAAATTACTCTACACAAAAATATTAGAAGCCGTCTCACTTCTCCGATCGAACGCTGCCCTGTACTCAGTCCAAATGAACCAGGAAAACCAAAATGTCCTGGTGGATGATCTTCACGAGACTGCAGAATTTCTTCTACCATCCGACGAGCATTCTCAACTTTTTCAGGGTCACCAGTAATACGTAGCGGTTTTGGTTGTCCACCACTTTCTTGATTTTCTTGTATCATCACCATTTTAACGCCAGTTTGCTCCTGCAACACTTGAACCTCACTACAAAGAATTAATAATCATAAAATTACATGAAAAACTCAACTAAATAAATTGCATTTACGTGGCTCAGTTCATCAATAAATAATTTGAAAAAGAGATGCATTTTATAAACCTGAATATTTTTGATCGTTTCACCTCCTTTTCCTATGACCAATCCACATTTTACACCCGGAATAAACATTTCCTGAGTGATCTGACGTCCGCTCCCGACAGATGAACCACCATCAAAGTGAGTAGCACGATTTGGTGGGGGACGATTGCCTGCCCGTGCAATTACCTTAGAAGCAACGCAACATTAATTTTTTTTATCATACCAGCAAATACATAAATATGAGACATAGAATATCATTTGCAAGTTCCAAATTTATGGCTTACGACTACCCAGTTCATTCAACTATAAGCCTGTCATAAAATTTCATTTTCGATTTCACCCTCAAAAAATGCTTAAAAAGTGCATTGTAAAATATCATAAGCAATTACACGATCTAATGCCTTGATATTAACAACAACCAATTGCAACAATAGAGAAAAAAATACCTCATTAATCATTGCTCTGGCGCGATCAACAGACATTTTGCTACCTTGTAAAGTGCACTGCCGCATATTATTTGCGTCTGACTCAGGAGACATTTGAACTCGACAACTAGTCTGCGACTGAATTTGCGAGATCTGTTCACCACCACGCCCAATCACTAAGAAATCGTTTCGTATTTCAAATTTTTTTAAACCAATACAAACAAATAAGCAAAATGAGAGTTCGTCGCAATCAATGTAACTGCGGAATTACAAAAACAAATAGAAAAATTACAGACCAAGCGATATCAAGAAAATTTTCAAAAAGTCACTGTTAAGAGTAGTGAAATCAACGAAATTACAGATACCAAGGCCAACGCAGTGATCTGGAACTTCCATAGTCTCCATAACGACTTCCCCGCCTGGAGGTGCGCTGCCGGCACCAACATGTCCTGGTGCTCCAAGTGTTGAAATTTGCATATTCCCACCCATATCCATGGTACTTCCAGCAACGTTGACCCTTTTAGTTGGATACACTGAAAATAGCTAAGATATTTTCCAATCTGATAACAATTTCGATTAAATATCATCTCAATAATTGCATATGATGCAGAATGCAAAACAAAATATGAATATACGCATCGCAAATATGACCATATTCTCGAACGAAATGCACATAAATATATATAAATCTTAATAAACTATAAATGAACCGTTAATAACGAATCCAAAATTATTTACATCATCGATCAAAATTCATATCAAAAAACCGTTATTTGTCTATGTATGCATTTATAAAAATGTGAAACTCCAACCTTAAAAATTCAATAAAATGCAAAAACATACTAGAATATCTATATAAACGAGAAATATACCGATCAAAAACGGTAAAACTCCCTAATATGAAAGTGGGACTGTTTAACGAGTCATTTCACTGCCCTCATAACATCTAATAATCAAAATAACAAGTGAATCACTGATACGTACGGTTCGATGACTCGTCCGAATTCGGTCGTTTCTGCGGATTCGAATGAGAAGAAGCAGCGAGCTAAACATAACAAGCAAAATATGAACATGTAATATAAATGCCGATACAATCAATTGTCGCTAAATGATAATATGAAAGAAACTGATGAAAGACATTTTAAAAAAATGTTGCATAACATCAAACTTACGATATAAATCGAAAAACTGCACAAATGGCAAAGAAATTTTTCATTTCATATTACACATTTCCAAAACCAAACTGCATGGTCATCATCATCACTATGCGAATAGCATTCAGCTTATTAAGAGTAACAACTCCGATTCCTATTTTACTGATCCATGTTATCCTTGTTCAACTTTGTTATGTAATAAATTACTACTTTCATACCGTGAGCATTCGAGTAACAATGAACTTCACGATGCAGAAATGAATGAAAGTAGTAACAACAGCTTAATTTTATCTCACTCGAATAAAATTTCCCTTATATATATATACTCAAATATAATGAATGTTGTGAAGTGAAAACTTACTAATGATATAATATTTTACAGGACAAAGCATTACTACTATGTAACGCCTGTACTAAATAATTTTGATGCAATAAGAACATTAATGGCTATTCCAAGATAAATTCTGAAGCGCAATAAATTGAATGCACGATTTATGGAACATGTGTAACATTTTTGGTTCTACTCATAATTTAAGTACAAAACAGTTGTCATATTGACAACCGTAGCCCTTAATTTTGCAAAATAAAAAAAATCAAAATATTTTCGTGCTACTTTTAATCAAATACATTATCAATTTCCAACCAACAAGACAATATTTCTGTAATATGCATTGTTAAATGTCCAATACTTGACACTTGATTGCATAATGTGATATTTAATGTAAATAATGGCAAGCTATGCATTTACTAACGAAATATATTTCATCTCAAAATGTGCTCATATGAGGAAGTTCATTCGTATGCAATAAGCATTATGAGCATTGCTGCACAGGAATTGATCAAGTAATTAGAATTAGCACTACGCATTATTCTACATAGTGAACTTCAGAATCCACATTACTCATATGTCATTAAATGAAATGCAGCTTCCCTCAAAAATGTACAATATCATACCTCTTTAGCCCGTTGCAATGCGTCCTGAATAGCGTCGGTTGAAATTATGCCTGTAGACATGCCGCGCTAACAGCCATCAATAGAAATAAAACTACTGCCGATCACAATGAGTTGCTGCAAATGCTAACGGGTCCGTTTTAGGTTACAACCTTTACAAAGCTGAGACCTATAATTACTACTCCATCCATATTTATCAAAATAATTTCACAAACTTACACGTCACATAAAGCATACACAAATGCACATATACGTACGCAAAGATTTCATATCAATTCAGATACAAAACGACATATCACGCGAAATATTGGTATTTTAATATGTCTACTCACACCCAAAACATAGAAAGCAAACAGATGACAATTCACCAACACAGATCATGAATCCAAATGGACTATATCAAAAGAACATCAACTCACACCAACAATCTGACATCCCCAACGAGCCAGCATAGCCCAACTCTTCTCATTACTACCAGCGTACGCCCCACTTCTCAAGAACGCACGCAACGAACCACCCATTGCAAGTTGTAATAGAAATTGATTCGCAGGTTATGACTAAGGCGCGTTTTTGAAAATAGGCAACGAAGAAAAGTGTCCAAACGTCCTGCACGACTTGTATTTGGAAGCAGCGATTCTTTTCGTTTTGGTGTTAAAGAACAAAACAGATAGGAATATATCACCGCTTCAAAATATTTTAACTATCCGTTATTGGATTGAAACATTAATATCACCACAAGTGATAATACTGGATTGAACAGTTATTATTATCAAAAGTGATAGCAAACAACTAGACATATATACGAGTACTCCATTTATGAATTGATATTGCTTTCTTCATCTAATTTACGTTAAATACGATACGAAAAAAGTATGGGTCATGTTTGAAGTTGAAATATATTAAAAGTACCAAAATTCTTACAAAATTACACAGAAGACACGTAAGTCATCACTACTTCCATATGTGATCCACGGACAGTAACATTGAAATTTTTTAATAAATAGAATTCAGTCAGGAATTCAATGAAAGGTCATCGCTTGAGATATATTATTCCGCACTCTCCCATATTGTCAAACATCCGATTTAATCAACTTGACAACATTCTTTAATGCTCTCTCCATAGAGTTGTGCACTACCAGTTGTTTTCAAAAACAACACCACAAAGCAAAATTCACATTATATAGACTTCATAATCATATAACACCTTACGCGAGCCATAAATGCATAAAAAGTCTCAAATGCGAAATATATTCACGTTATTGAAAATAATTCAGAGACGTATATTAGGTAACAAGAATTTGTTGATATTATACAAAGTAGTCAAACTGATGACTAACGCATTTTCGAACCTTATTAATGGGTGCTCTGTTGATCACACTACATTTTTTTTCAAAAATTATAATTTGAAATGAGCAATTCGGATTCACAAACTTTTAGTAAAAAAGGCAAAATCTGAGATTGCAGTTATAAATCACTGCGTCTTAGTGTAGCATCAGAAGACGAATAATGTATGTTTGCAGCGTTGAAACCAGCAATACGTCCATAAACGACACATTCAAGGAGTGAATTACCAGCTAGCCTGTTACGGCCATGAACACCTCCTGTAACTTCGCCGGCAGCCAACAAACCTTTGAAAGGTTTGCCAGAAAATTCGTTATACACAACTGCCTAAATTATAACAAATGATACAAAGGCAAAGCAATACCAAGGCAAAACTACAAACATCATTTTTTCAAGAACTGACTTTATAATTTTGAATTTAAAAGCCTTAGTAAATCTGCCTTGTATTCAGATATTAGCGATATTTTGACATAGAATAAAAATGAAGCTTGAAGATAACATTTGCTCTAAAGTTCTTAAAACGCACATCTTTATCAATTTTCACTCCTCCCATAGTGTAATGAATTGCTGGAGTGATGACAGCAACATAATATGGTGGGTGCTCCAATGCAGAAGGAAAAACCCTTTTTCCAAATTCATCAACCTGAAGCATATAGTACAGAAAACGATGCACCAAGCAACGAATTCCAGAGTTCTTTTTTATTTTCACGTCGAACAGTAAGTCAGAATAAATAAGGAAACGAATTAAAAACTAACACTAGAAGACTGTGAATAAAAATGTTTGTTATAGTCGCTTAATGTTTTTTGAAGTTTTGACAAGTCGACTTTCATGTAATTTGCTACTTGATCCAAAGTACTGAACTCCTAAAATTTGTAGTTTTTACTGCATCGTTGGATAATCAAAGAAAAAATTCTTAAAATTAAAAGTTTCAAATTTTCGTTATTAACCCAATCAGCTTTTTTTAAATCTATTTCAGTTTATATCATGAACCTTATACAAATTTTTCCAAACTATGATAAAATAATAGATTTATGAACAACTGAACTCATGTCTTTTTTACCTGAAAGAAACCTTTGAATTTGTAAAAACCAAACGAAGCGCGACCAAAATCATCCACTGACTGACTATCCATAAGCATAAATGCAGTATGGATATCTCCAGCTTCTTTATTTTTGGGACAAATCCTTAGTATTTTATCGGTGACATAATCGCGACGTCCAAGCTCATTTACAAATCGTTCTCCTTTATCGTTTAACTAAAACTATTAATGACAGATTGCTAAAATACTTCAAAAAAATTAGTCCTTATATCATCACTTCTACATCCGTAGCTATTTCATTTCCTGTGAAACGACAAAAATTGAAGACAAAAAGTACCAGAATGGCACCCTTTCCTCTCAGAGCTTCAGCAGCAAGAAATTTCGTTTTAGCGGTTGAATTCTTAGGGTCCACAAACGCTGTAGGATGAATCTAAATTGCATAATAAATCATACGTAAATAAAGTATGCTGATTAAAATTTATGATTATCATATAGCTGACAGATATGGTAAATCAAAACATATCATAAAATAGGAAATTAAAATTACAGGCCAAATAGAATATGGGAATGCGATATTCAAAAATCAATTAAACAATCTAATAAGTTTCCAAAAAGATTACCTGCACATTTTGCATTCCTACCAAAGCTGCACCCATAGCACGAGCCATTTTAACTCCTCTTCCGGTAGCCCATGGACCATTCGTTGTAGGGAAATTGATTTTTTCTGGAGCAAATTCTTGAAGCAATGAACCTTCTGCAGAATGATCACAGCTAAAACCACCGGTAGCCAAGATAACCGCTTTACCAGTTATTTCTTCTACAAATTTTGCATCAATTATCATAGAAAAAAAAGTATAAAAGCGGTAGTCTAAACCTCACAAATCAATTCTTAAATAATTATTTATTGCTGTGCTGCGATTTTTCTGATAAGGAGATGTGTTTTGCTCAAAAAGAATAACTGAAGATTACCCTGTTTTCACGAAAGTAAAGTTTTATTTGTGTTTATACATTATTAATAGTCATCCAGCTAAGTACATTTTTAATGACGCTTGCCTAAATGTTCTAATATGCATTGAGGGAGATAATTTAATACAACACGAAGTATTTAAACGAGTTGTAGATGTATCGCGAAATCGAAGAAGCAGTAGCATTTATTGCCGGTTACTTTTACTACAAATTGCCAAGAAGCCGAGTGGACTTATTTGCAGTCAGACTGGCAAATATAATTCTGAAGTAACTTTTCAGATATACACGAAAAATCCTGGCCAACAAGACTATGAATATGCCATCTAATTATTAAATTTGAATTCCCTATTATGTTTAGTACTATTATCAAATTTAAAATTTTTTGAGTATTCAGAAATATGCAACAACAAAAAATGCCAAGAATCTTCTTGATGAAAGAAACTGCTATTACAGAAACTGTAGAAAAATCATCTCAGAAGACAGACATAAGAAGCTCAAAAAAAATAGCAAGGAAGAAGAACATAATATTGACATATTAACACGCGAAGTGATCATTGAAATAAACTGTAATGGCAAACTAGCTGTAGCAATCGTAGAAGCTACTTCTGTCTTCGACGTTACTCTACAGCAAATAGTTCAGATTTCATTTCTATTTATTCAATATCAGAGATACTGCTCCACTTTAATCGAACAAATTATGATGATTCTGATAATAAAGAAAAAGATAATTTAGCCGAAAATATTTCAATGCCTAATATCTGTTCAATAATTTTCAACAAATAACATACTGTAGAGTGCCTTGCTTCCCAATGCTGTCAAACTTCATATAAGTGAGGGTATGGTAAAATATAGTTTCCGAAGTAATTTAATATGTCTCTACCGAAGCGACGGCAATATGCATCACATACATCGAAAAGCTTACCATACTCATCTAAGACCACCCTTAACTACCGTAGCAGATAATGACAATCGCAAATTTTTTCAGGTAATTAATTCTTCCTTGAAAATTTTTCATAAATGTTAAAATTTTTGCGCAAAAAACCTTGCATTAATTAATTTCAAGCTTATAACAAAGGATACATTCCCACGTCGACAACATCATCATAGAAAGAAGTACTGCATCAGTACAAACGACAATAAACAATTACGTAGAATGATAAAATCAGCACACTACTGGTATAAGAATCAGCAACTACCAGGACCAACAAGATCTGCCAAGTAAGAAAAAAGATTCAAGTAAACTAGAAGTCAAATAGATGCAATAAGTAAACAAATTTAAAAAGTAATTTGTTGATTAATATAAAGAATCTAGTCAAAAAAAAGTATCTAATCTAGCAGCAATAAAATAAATCGTGAAAATAAGGATGATTAAAAAATGTTTCAGGCTTTCTGGCAATGGCTTTATGCATCCAACCTTACCTCCTAGCTACAATCGTAAATGGAATTGGAATTATAATCAGATGTGCAGGAGATTCCAAAATGAAAACAAAATATCTTTTGGAAAAAATGTATTTGAAAAAAGAAACTATTCTACAATAAGCACCAGTAATAGAATCCAAAATCCTAAAAGTCAAAATTTTTCCTTCAAAAATCCTAGTGGGGGTGATTATGTCACTAGAAAAAAAAACCACGATAAAAACACACTGATAAATGATCAAAATTTTTCTTCCAAAAATCACAATGGAGGCGATTATGTCACTAGAAAAAAAAACTACGATAGAAATACAATCATAAGTGATGATGTCTTACGCTCATTTGGAGTCATCGCTTCCTATCATACGGTAAACCCTTAAAACTAATTATCATTCCAATAACGAAGCCTCTTTCTTATGCTAGAATAATGATGCCAAAATCTATCATAAACTAATATCATTTAAAAGTTTTTCCATCTACACTACTTAAAATCTATTTCCACGCTATTAGAGAGAAGATATGATACAAATTAAATATAGAGAAGAAATAACGAAAGATTCTGAACAATAAAGTTTGAAATATTTGGAAAGCTTTTCCTATTTTCAAAATGCATTTGTCTTAAGTTTTAAGAAAACAATTTTATAAATAATCTCAATAGTTAATTAAAGTCACATAATAATTTGGAAGAAATATCTTATTTAATGTTTTTACAAATCATACGTCTTTGTATTTCTAAAACAACTGACGCTAATTCTTACAGCGCTATGTTCATCGAAGAAACTGGAGAAATGCTAACTGTTGACTTCCCGATTTCGATTTATTGTTTGCAGTGAAATCAGCTATGCTTTGGTTAAAAGAAATAAACCCTAAATGAGAAATTATAATTTGTATTAAAAATTCAAATAAATATTACCAATGTGACTACCATTTCGAATACGTACACCAGTCACAAAATCATTCCATGTTACAAGACCCATCACTTCGGTTTCCAATAGTATGAACACCTAAAATTTTATACTAGGGTCAACTTTTGGTTTCAAAATAATCGCTCGAAACTAAACCTTATTGAGATTCTCATTCTCTTACGATATACAAAAATTGACCTTTTCCGGGTGAGCTTTTTGATGTAAATAAAGTTCTTTCTTCAATGCTTGGATGATACTAAAACCAACTGCTACCGGCTTGCCTTCTTTAGACTGTGGTATCCTAGAAAAATAAAGTAACTCAACTGTTTTTGAACTTTTTCATAAGCAAAGTAGTATCAGGAATAAGACTTCTTAAATATTGTAATCAAGTATTTAAACGTAATAGAAAAATCCTCAAAAAAAAGTTCGTGACAAAACGTTAGTTTTTGATATTACTTTCCAGAATATAGACAACACAAAGTGTCCCAAAACACTTCTTTATATTGAATAATAGCGTAAATATTGAAAAACAGCTTATTGTACCAAATAAAGATTCTTTTTCCCTAATTCTAAATTCCTATTTCATATAATAACAAAAAAATACCAGTGAACTCTTTTTACTGAATGCCCACCACATAAATTAACGTCAGATAAGTCAACGCCATTATCAATGAGAAACTGTACAGCAGTAGGAGACTTATGTACCTACAACATTGCATTCAACGTAATCAAACATAATTTTAATTAGTAAAAGTGAGAAAACTTCAAAGTTTCAGTGTCTGATATAATAAGAGAATGAAATTATAACATGCAATATCAAGCATCTTACAATTTATTATCTTTAAGCATTCGCAGACCTACCAATTGCTGAACCAATATGTGGTCATTCTCATGATCTCCAGCTGACATCGTATCTGAATAAAACAAATCCGGTGAATCAGCTATCTGTCTCATACGCTGTGCTTCAGTATTACAAGCTGCTATTCCACTCGAAGCCTAAAAATAAAATTTTCCAGCTGCTACATCTGTAACGCACAATATTATGATGCTGGCCATTATTTTTGGGATATAAGAAGTACATAAATGCAAATGCAAGCATTTCTCATATTACGAGGATTCGAATTTTCACTTAACACAATACTGCTTAATTTCAACTCTAATTCCCTGAAACCTTCCCGACAAGTTGAAAAATTCTTTAAAAACACTTCACAATCAATTCAAATAAAGAGGCATATATTCAAATACGACTGGAAATTTTACATTGTGCTAACATGCGAATTAATCCTCCTGACCAATACAAAAAGTTTATGGGATAGAGAATAATTATAAGCATAAACTATTAGTCTCAAAATAAATGGAAAAATTGTTAATGCAGATTGTTTCGAAAAACAGCATGATATAATGAATTAAAAAGATAAGAAATCACCTTTTGACTATTACCACCCAAATCTTTTTCACCTTCAATAAGGACAACTTTTGCACCTTCGTGTATCGCTTCTAATGTGGCAGACAAACCAGCTAAGCCACCACCAACAATAATAACTGGTTCCGTGAAATCAGGTACCTGCAAATTACGTGTACCTAAAACTCACGGCTAAGAAAAAAACAAACTTGTAATACAAATCTATTTTTTGTAAAGAACACTACAGAAGCATTTCTTTGCAAACAATGAATTTGTTACAAAACTATCTACTCAAACTTTTATGATTTGTTGTATTCGGTTCAAATGAATCATACTTCTAAAATACCAGTGAGAACTATATGTTAAATAGATCTTTTTATCAAGTAAAATACTTAAGTACAATTTATTACGAAAAATTCAAATCTTACTACGCCAACAGCAAACTCAGTGACCATCGCTAGTAACAGATTTGTTGCAAACTTCATTAAAAATGCAAAACTTTCTCGTGCAGAAATTCTGAAAAAATTTGATATAAACTTATAATACCTTTCACAACGACATCATCTCTTTTTCAATAACTGCAGGCAAATTCATATCACATTCACTTTACAAGACATACCGATTCATTTCCGTACCACTATTTCATGCAATTTAGAATATTTATTAATTTTCAACGAGGACCTCCAGCAATAACAATACCCTTGACTGTTATTTCGGATGAAATAACAAAAATTAGTATTAAGATGAAGTGAATGACCTAACTTCATTAATATTACGAATTGATAACTATATCTTGTATTTACACGGAATAAGTA